AAGAAGGCATTTGCCATAGTGTTTACTGTGAAGAAATTTCACAGGATGCTCTATGGTCGCCGCTCCAAACTCTTGACGGACCACAAGCCGCTGCTGGCCATTTTCTGCTTGAAGAATGGAATTGCTGCCTATACTGCTAGTTGACTCCAACGATGGACACTCACCTTGCTGGGCTATGATTTTGAAACCTGTTATCAGTCAACGGTTTTGATGAACCGGGCAGACGCGTTGTCACACCTCATTGATTCCCAGTAGCAAGAATACGAGGACACCATCATACCCTCAGTTGAGGTCCAACTTGATGTCAAATTCCTGCTGAGGGAGCAATTACATGGGCTGCCAATTACAAAAAAAACGCTTCGAGATCCAATCCTGAGAAAGGTTACACACTTCCACAGAACCGGCTGGCCATGTTCGTGTTCGTCTGCCGTAATTCAGCAATTCTTTCAGTGAAGTCATTCCGTAGGCTTTGCAAGAGAGAGTGCTGCGGCAGTTCCATGCAGGACATCCAGGGCTCGAGCGAATGAGAGTGCTTGCCCGAAGTTATGTGTATTGGCCGTTTATGGACAGACAGCTGTAGCAGCTAGCTCGAAGTTGTGGCAAATGCGCTACCGCTTCAAGAGCACCGCCGAAGACTGAACACCACTCGTGGCCTAAACCAACTAAACCATGGAACCGTGTTCTTTTAGACTTTGCAGGCCAGAACTTTCTCATGGTGCTCGACGCTTATAGCAAGTTGTCCGAAATATCCCTCATGAGCAGCACGAAAACCAACGCAACCGTCTCGAAGTTGCGACATATTTTCAGCAGGTTTGGCTGCCCTGAAACATTGGTGACGGGTAATGAAGCACAGTTTGCTTCTGCCACATTCACGGAATTCTGCACAAGCTGCGCCATCCAACACGTGCAGTCTGCACCATTCCACCCACAATCAAACGGCCAAGTGGATACATTAAAACGCGCTCTCCTCAAATCAAGGCGGGAGAGAAACGCAGAGAAGATTATCGAGCGCTTCCAATTTCTGTAACGATCCACACAAAATCCAATAACGCCTGGTAGAATATCACCAGCAAAGGCAATGATGAAGAGAAAAGTTCGCATAATGCAGTTCTGTCGTTTTGATTCTACAGCTGATGAAAGGAACCTCAAGATGGAACGTGACTTTAATCGGCGGTATGGTGCTAAGCGACATTCGTTTAACCCGGGTCAGCCAGTAGTTGAACGTGATTACCGGGAAGGACACGCAAAAGGGACGCCAAGCACGACCCAGGGCAAGTGCGAGCACCTCAGTTACAGTGTGCTGGTTAGAACACAGGTATGGATATCCATGCAAACTAACTGCGAACAAGACTGCATCAGCCACAAGCAACAGAATCTGCCGAGCTTCTATATGACCTATCGACGGACAGCTTCAACTTGCCTAGACAACCCGTAGAAGAACCCTGTCATCAGAAGAATGATACCAGATCGCAGAGCACGGAACTTGAATCCAGAACACTACGGCCAACGCGATGGACCGATAGGCATAGAACCCCGTCAATCCCAGGCCAATCCCAGGCTAGCATCATACACCGCGGCAGCTGTTTCAGGAGAAGAGGTATCCGGGAAAAGCTAAAATGATAAAGGAAAACCCATTACTTTAGCACCAAATCGAGTGTGTTCCATCTCGCATTTAGTTCGAAGATCCCGGAAGATTCCATTCCTTCAGATGGTTGTCAGCATACGGAGTTTTGGCAGGGAGGCTACTAATTTTACCATTTGACCTTCGTTTTCTAGAAGCAGAAGGTCATTGAACCCCCTATGTATTTGGCTTAGGTCTGGCGTAGTTGTACAGTGTTGGACTTTTGCTTTTTCTTCGAATGGGCTAGAATTTTTGCGTAGAAACATGTGGGTATTTAATTCGGAATAGCGAGAAAGCGTGAAGATCTAACCATTTCGATTCAGGTACGTCAGGCGTCAAACTCTTTAGCAGAATTCACAATGGATCACCACGTCGCCAGTAATAACTTCTATACAAATAATTATGAATCTCATAATTGTAATCATCTGAGGTACTTTATCGAAAAGCTATTTCTTCGCAGATTTTCGTTTAAATTCAATCTGTTGTTATTTGCACCCACTTTTACAAATGGGACAGCATCACCTTTTTGGCTACTATTTATATAAATTGGATAATGATAACGCTATGGTATAAGGAAACTTCAGCCCACATCATACCAAAGTCAAATATACGCTTCTACCCAATAAGTGAGACTTGGCCCCTGCGATCAGTTGACATAAACAGGATAGTTACGTTCGACCACCGGTGCCTTCACAGTTTGGCTCACATCTCGTAGGAACACCAAGTGAGCAAAGAGCGTGTTTAACGTCTTGGTTATGGCACAGGAAGGAGAAATATACCGCTTAGCGCCGTTATTTCACGTACCAGGTTCCGATGGCTCGGCTACGTGTTACGCATGCCAGCCCACCCACTCCCTTTGTTGGCGCGCCGAGGTGCGGACGGAAGAGGTGTGTGGGGGTGGCTAAGCGCTGACTTGGTCGAGAGGAATGAAGCCCCTCACTCCGAGGCTGGCCTCGGTTGAAACGGTTCGGCTTCCTGGTTGTGGGCCGAAAGACAATGAAAACGTTTGGTTGGATACACTGGTTGGTCTGGCTATGAGCCGACCTCAATGGGGTTCGTGCTGTGAGTTTCGTTGTCCCTCCTCATCCCTCTTATCCTGCCCCTCTAACCACCACCTTACTTCTTCTCCTAATATAAGTTTGCAAATAAAGTTTTGGCTGCATGGTAGCCGGCTGGTAGCTTACCGGAACGATGCCCATCCGTTACCGATAAATTAGCTGGCTTGCGGCTGTTGCGTGTCGTTCCTTTTTTCTTTTATGTATTGCAGTACAGTAACTGAGGTGTTTCCCACCTCTAGCTAACGTGTATCATGATGACGATCATGACTTAATAAATGCCTACTAGTATGATTGATCAGACTTCTTTCTGCCAGCATTGCTGTTAAACTAAACGAGCGCTATTAAAAGTACACTTTTGGGAGTAAAATCTGAAGTTTTGATCGGTAGCAATGATATAATTTTTATCATTATCTGCTGCTTACCACGTGCATCTGGGGTGAAAGTAGAGCATTAGTTGAACTTGCTATTTTCAGACCAATACGTTTGCAATTCTTATAAAACAATTTCGTAAACCGATATATACGCTAAACTTTATTTTACCATATCTGGACTGGATTCCCCTGCACAGCATTACTTACCGGTGCCTATATTCCTCTGGGTTGTCATATCGTTTGGCACCTAAGCGTCATCGAATCTGACACCCAATCTGTACACTTAAAGTTCACTTTTATTGTAATGAAAGTCCGGGTAATGAATTAGATAAGAGTCATTTAATGAGCGGTTATGTCATGCTATCATACCTTCATGGAAATATAATCAACGGTTGTGAACAATGGTTTTCGGTACCCTTCTTTCTGCATGATCCGCGAACAATAGCGCCGTCAGAAGGCCAGTTTACAAGAAAGTACAAATGACTTATTTGTACATCTATCGCTGTGGACAGAAGTCATCATATTGATATTTTTTATGCCGCAACAATTGTAACACAAACCGGCATCAGCTTGGTTACCCGTATCCCTATCTAATCGATGTTTTGTTGGGTTATTCCGACTAATATAATAAAACACGGTGCATTCATGATGTTCACCCGGTTACCGTCTTCCAGTAGTGCTTAGACAACAGAAAATACCGATGATGCGATGAGGCGTTCTCTACCAAATATGGCGGGGAATAATGGTAACTATTGTATCTCGCCTACCGCTTCGTCTTTGTTGGAGAATTAGCCGATAACTGTGCTTTCAAGCTCCCGAATTTTGTCACCATGCTAGATGCCAAATCAGGCGTTACATGAAAAATCTGTGATTGTTTGATGCTATGCCACCAAATACTAAGTGCAGACAAATTATCAGCGCAGTTCCGTTGGTACATGAATGTAATTCCACCATGTCGAATATTCTAGTTCAAGAAAAAGGCTTGCGCAACTACGACATCTTTGTGTACTCAATACAAATTTTCTGCATTCATCAAATTATTCAAATGTTTAGCAGAGAGTCATGATACTAAATTGCATTTGTCGTTCCCATAGTGCTTTAGTTAAAACAGTAACCGTGGCCCAGACAAGCTTAACGCAGCTAACGTCGATAACAAACTTACACCAATCATTCAGTTTGATATGATCATGTAAAGCCAAACGCATTGCTAAAACTTGCGCTGTATCTTTCACCACTATTAAGGTCAATTTTAAACCATTTATGTTTCTCTCCTGACACCGCTCCCACTGCCTTTATTATGAAATGTGATACGATGACAAAACAACGTTACTGCTTTTCTGACTCATTCATGGTTTTTAGATGGTCAGTATTTTCGATATACAAGCTTCCAGTTATCATTGTTTACTATGCCGAGAAATTCAAACAAACCAATGCACTACTTGACTCACTTCATTGACGGCGATTTTGCTGCTGCTTGCAATCACTCTCATAACGCAGGCGTTTAGCAGAAAATTCCTCTCAAACTCTGTATCTTCACGTAACGATGTTATAAGATGCATAGTTTATTCCCCTGGAATAAAACAAACGGTTACTCAGCATATCCCACAAAGTTTCAGAAGAGTTTAACTTGGTTTTGAACATTTGCTGCTGGGAACATCATTCCCTAGCGTTTGCATTTTTTTGGCATAAAACGGTTACAAATTTGAAACCTGATCTATTGTAAACGGTTGACTTGTAGTGTTACTGTGTCATCTCAAAATGCCGTCATATTTGAAAAGCTGCTCAAAACTACTCACCCAAGTTAATCTTGCATCCATCTTCTCACTAGTAACCATGATGAGTGCGCTACATATTAATCTTGCAGTTTTGTAGCTACTGGCCACAGCTTTCCTTAAAATACTGACATTTAAATGCCCCCAGTAGCACCTAAGTATCTTCATCATACAACAAATGACTTACAAGGTATATCCATCTGGCTGCTTTAGTGATTACTTTTGAACTGATATTTACTTACTTTTCCCCCATCCTCATAGTCTTGACAGGTGTGGAATTTACTAATATTGCCCTCAGTTTTCCAAGTGTTTATTGGCTGCATAATTTTCCAAACTTCCTGTGTCATATAAGTTGTTGTTTTTCAATGGATACCTGTGCAGCTGTTTGATTTTGTGCTGTCAAAATGGAACTGTATAAAAAGTTGACAGTATAGCATGACATTAGTAAAAGTTAGGTGGCGTTCACATATGCTTTGTCCATGTGATTAATCTGGAGGTTTGAAAGCCGTCGGTAAATGTCATGGTTTTTAAAGTTTAATATAACTTAGTTGCAGTTAAATAGAAATTATTCATTAAAGAAGATGTTTTAATTTCCTCACGTCTAGGTGGATTTACTGAATTCGGGGAAGAGTATTGAGTCCAACCAGTCGGATCCCAATCGTTCACCTTCGAGTACATCTGGTCCAGACCTGTGTGATTCTCTCACAGATGAAAGCAAGGCAAAAGAAACTCAAAAGTCAAGTCCATCAAGTATTATTCCGATCAATCAGTCAAATGGTGACCCAAGCGTTCAGGTGGCAACTATTAATAACTCTTGCAGTAGTGATGACGGGAATCTTGAGAGTATGTCGACTGGAGGAGAGAGACACAACACTGGATCCAGTTTGCTTCATCAAAATGGCGGCTTTCAGCTTCACAGAAAAAAGCTTAAACCCGATAGACAGCTTTCTTTGCAAATGGAAACAGAGGACCAGCTTACCAAAAGCGGCAGTTCTCGTAACTGGAGAGTAAATGCCCGTGTATCATCCGATTTGAGGCGGTGGAGATTAACTAGTGCCGACCAACTACATACGCTTATAGATGAATGTGAACGTCTAATCAACGGACGCAAGCTGTATGTTTGCAAATTTTGCGGAAAAGTATACGAAATCAAGAGCAGTATGCGATATCATATGAAAATAATCCATTTACAAATGCACTTGAGGACTACAGAAATGCAGTGCCGCAGCTGCGGAAAGCAATTTACGTGCGTTAGCGCTGTCAACAGGCACCAGGCAAAATGTTTACTCGCTACTTGCTCTGACTCCAATTTGAATTTATCCAGGAAATCCGTGATCACCGCAGACCACACAGCGTTTGGCGTGCGCTCCTTATCTTTCCGAACAGTGGAAAATAACGCTGTTTGTTTAGAACGTGATGGTGATGCTCTCGCTGATTGTGCAGGCAACTTTCGATTAGAAAATATCCATGACGTTTCATTACCAAAAAGTGCATTCCGTTTTCTATCGCCCAACTCGTCAACAATGTTTGGGCCCTTGCCGAACGCTTGTCGTGGGGCAACTGCATACTGCGACGTCCAAAAGTCGAATGACTTGTCGCATGATTTAGTCGAGTCAAAATTCGATACGAACGCAAATGGATTTGAATACTGTTCCACCTTTCTTCACCATCAATACTCGCAAACGCAAAAGTCCGATGCACACGATCCCCTTCAGAATTCGACGAAAATCTGTTGGCCCGAGTTTCTGTCCGCAAACAGCACCGTTTCAGACTTAAATCCGTTGCAGTTGGAAATGTGCATGAAAGCCATGGTTCAAAGACTGAATGTTAAAAACGAACTTAACAGGGCTCAAGAAGAGTTGATATGTAGTTCAGAATCAGGTCCGGAAGGAAGTACAGACTTCCATCGATCGGAAACCCTGAATGATTCAAATCCATCTTCTTTTTCACCCGGCCACGCATCAACAGACTCGTTCGAAGTTGGACACACCTTCAACGGAGCTAGTGAGGCAATCGATTTGTCAGCCCGAACTCCTTCAGAGACTATCATTATAAAGTCACGCTAAGCGAGTACCGTTTTACTTCACCATTTCACACAAAGATCATAGTGCCACCGCCTCATCGAATAACCTAGGTGATGATAAAGTTATACTGGTTTGCCGCATTTACAGTTTTACCTGAACGTGTCCTCGGAAAATGCTTCATACCGCGTGCCAAGTATGCAACTAGCGCTTTTTATATTCAAAATCGTGCCTTTTCACACTTGCTACGAGACGGTTTCATCCATGTGGCTTGCTTTCTTCGCCGTCCACAGTCAGCGCTCATTTTACTGTAAAAATAGATCGTATGGACGCCTCTTTTCATTTTCGCTTTGCTGCATCCATTATAACTTCCGGTTTTCTATTTTGTATTCTCCAATAACATGAAATGCGTATACTTGCATCTCAGTAATTTTTGCTCATATCTGACAGCAGTATACTACCACCCGGTTGAGTATCCCTTGGATGACTACATCGATTATTTTTCATGTCTTAACCAGTGTACAATTCTTCGAATAACGCCGCGTGGCGTTTCAGTTTGCTACTGGTTGGAAAGCGATGTTCTTTTTGTTATGCATATAAGACCATATCTTTTAACTGGGGTGTGTGAGTAGGTATTAATACATACCTAATTTTCTCTGGCGGCAATGTATACTTTAGTCCGTCGAAGTGATACAGATTAGATTTGGTGCTTAGTTCAGTAAGCGCTTGCAGTACAATTAACTGGATATTCTAAATATGCCAGTTATTTTTAATAAAACTTCTTCAAACTCGTTATGTACTAGCTTAAGTTCACGCTGGACCACGAGAGGAGTACGGACACGCAGACAACGACGGTTGCTCAAGAGGACATTCAATGAACAATGATTGCTCACGGATAAAAGCGCAGGTGTCTAGCGAGTCCCGTAGAATAATTGGAGTGAAAACTAAAAGAAGCAAAAGCTGTTCGTCAGTTTAAGCGTCTAGCTACTTAACTACACTGCTACATAACGATAGTTTGATAGTGGGAATTGAATGTGAGCACAAGGTAATATAGAGATCAATTGTAATTTACCTAATACGTGAGGAAAAAGGAGAATGGTATCGCTCACTCGTGTGCCGCTTCCTTGCACCGATGTCATAAGTAATTCCAGTTTGGACCCATTCTAACGATGTTCTACAGTGGCAGCGTTAAAAACGGAAGTACAGGAAGTGAAAATGAGCATGTTGATCGGTAGTGTTAGTTTGGTACCCGGACCTAGCGGGTTAAATAGCGTAATGTAACTGCAAGCATGCATCATCTAGACGTCTTTTGAATGCTGTCAATGATGGTGAAGGGACAATTAGGGTGAGAGTTCAACGTTTGGCACACGCGAAGGGAAAAAGTTCCGGTTACATGCCAACCGGCTATAATGTGTAGCCACCTACAGCTTGTGACTTCTCAGTGGTAGTATGATTCAGCTCCAGAAGGTGACAACAAGCATGGTTTGGACTCCTCAAGATCAACTGTCTTTATCAAAGCGCCACGTAGTGACGATATTGTCAAGTATAGTCATCAATAGTTTTCAGCCTCAGTAGACAAGGGAGATGAAACGGACCCTTTACATTCGTGGTAACCCACCGTTGGGCATTTCAAGTGCGATGGGGTCGTACTTGTGTCACTGCTGCCAACCGTGAACGGTATATGCTGAATGAGGCCTAATGTAGGCACTGAACATCTGCAAGAAGATAGAAGGGTCAAAGTACCTTAATGCCCACCGCAGAAGATTATGGTGTTGATTGTCCTTTCTGGATGCGTTCTAAGCTTGACATTAACAGCCAACATCTGCTTGTACGATCTAGGTCGCATTCAATGGGAGCTTGTTGCAAAGCTTCCTCCATAGCCTGTACTCGCAAGTGGATTGTTGGCGTATGTTCCATGTCTTTTAATTTGTGGCATTGGAAGTAATCAGGTTCTGAGACGCCAATTCGTATATTATATCAATGTCATCCTGAATTGGTACGTGGTCACCTATTGTTTTGAGGTCAGACAAACTCAGTCTCCTGGTCCTCCAGGTTGGAGATTTGAAGTGGGATGGCGTCCATTTCTGTAAAACTAAATCATCGCCACCTCCCTGCTGCCTTACGAACAGGCTTTTGAGCCAAAGGCTTTGCACGAGTACCCTAATAATCCTCCTGTATATGTCTGGGCTCCCTGGCAGTATCTCAGTCCATATACAACCGACTTTTTCTTCAAACATAAACTTCATCCTGCATAGGCCGTCACCTAGATTATCAAGGGTTTCCTTATCTGTTGCGTACAGCAGGGCTAATAAGCTCAAGCATGCTAATGATGACGCCTCCCTTCTTTCTTCTCCACCTGTTTCTCTCACTCCTATCCCAGCCCCCATTACTAACCTACCTTCTATAATTCCTAACTTAATTGACAGCAAACGAAGTGCCACTGGAGTAGAACCATCTGCAGCCAAATTCTCGCGACGCGCACCAGTCGCCTATCGGCAACAGGCTCTTATAATGCTATGCTGTCCCGTTTTCATGGCGACGTTCAACGTTAGCACTCTAAGACAAATAGGTCAACAGGCTGCACTTGCACGCACCTTGGACACACTGGATATTGATGTGTTTGTGTGTCCGAAACTAGGAGCAATGACCCTAATGGGGTGGTTGAATTAACTGCACCCGGCTTATCTTCTCCTTATTGGTTGCACGCATCCGGAGACGCCGATGCAGCACTCACGGGTCAATCTGCAGTAGGTATCATTCTAAGCTCCATGGCTGAGCCCTCGTTGGTTGATTGGATTCCGGTGAACAGCCGTTTATGTGCAGCCCGTTTGACGACATCAGCTAAGGTTGATTCACAAAGTAGTATAAAACGCTGTTTCTTTGTGATTTCCACTTATGCTCCCAACGACTGCAGTTCTAATGCTGCCAAGGAGTCATTCTATCACGGACTGAATGCGCTACAACGCAATGCTACTAGTTCGGATATTATAGTTCTTGCATGGGATATAAGCGCAAGAATAGGGCGTCTCAGTTCGTCAAGAACTCAGCTGGGTGGTAACTATGGGTGTAAATCCGAACGGACTGACCATGGTGAGCATCTGCTGCAGCTGTGTGCGGAACATCAGTTGTTTCACAGTAACATTGCTTTTAGACACAGTGAACGCCGAAGTGCCACTTGGTGTCCTCCTGTAGCTGGCCAGCGATGGACCCAACTTGACCACATTGCCATAAGTTACTGGTGGCGTGGTTCCATTCTGGATTGCCGCTCATATTGGAGTACCTGCGTCGACGCTGATCATGTTTTGGTACGCTGTCGTTTCTCTATGAACTTTACCGGGATGCGCACCAAGTGTCTCCTCCTATTGGCAACGGAGTAATTCTTTCAGCCGTCGGTCAGACAAGCCCATCGAGACGCACTGCATACCAAACTTTCGTTGTCTTGTTCAAATGACACTGTGCTTCAGTGGAATAAGATCTCAGCAGCCATGCGTGAAGCAGGAGCACCTGCTTGTGGCACTATCCATCGTCACCGCAGCAGTCACTGGATATCCGAGAGGTCGGTGAACCTGTTGGAATCTAGAAGAAGCCTCCCGGCGGTCTCTGAGCACAGTGTGAACAGACGGGCTATTAGGCGCGAACAAAAGTGGATCCTACCTAGTGACAAGGAAGCCTAGTGGACCACTCGGGCTCAAGAAAGGGAGGAGGCAGGAGCAGTACGCGATTACCGCAAGCTCTTCTAGCTGATCCACACCACTGGTCCCAGGAAACCAGCTATCAAGTAGACACTCAGAGGCAGCGCGGGTGCACTGATACACACTAAGGAGCGTCGTATGGCTCGTTGGGCGAAGCACTTTGAAGACCAGTTCAGCTGGCCCCCTGCTCCCGGACTTCCTCCTACTCAGGTGATGCAGGACAAGCCATGGGCGGTTAGTTTAAAGCCTGCGTCGGAGGTTCAGGTCTGAGAAACGATCAAAGCCCACCATCGTTTCCGTGCTGCTGGCCCGCATTCCCTCCCTCTGCACTATTTAAGGATGGAGGTGAGGTCCTCTGCAAAGCAATGATCTCGATATTCGAACGTATCTGGAAGGGTGTTCCTGCTAACTGGAGCGAATCAACTATAGTTGCAATGTACAACAATGACAGTCGCACAGACTGTGCTAACCACAGGCGTATTAGCATTCCGCTAGTTGTGACAAAATTACTGGCTTCGATTCTCGTTCGTCGCCTCACTGTGTAAAGAGGAATCTCGGATTAGGGAAGAGCAGGCCGGTTTCCGCTCAACGCGTGGTTATATAGACCATATATTTACGCTGCGGCAGGTGCTAGAGCAGCGCCACGCATATAGCAGACCAACAATAGCTGTGTTCCTCGACATCAAGTGTGCGTTCAATTCAGTCGATCGATCGATTCTGTTCGAAATATTTGCGCGGAAATGTGTTCCCACGAAATACTTGAACATCCTTCGTGTTCTATACTCGAACACTACAGGCCGCGTCAGGGTCCACGGTGTCCTATCGGATAGCTTTTCGAATACAAGTGGCTTTCGTCAGGGACGTCCGATTTTCCCCATTTTGTTCAATTTCGTCTTGGATTCTGTCATGGGGTGTTCCCTTGCGGAATCTTATGATGTAGGCGTTGAAGTGCTGCCTGACGAAAGGTTAGTTGACTTAGACTATGCGGACTAAATGGTCTTGCATCTCGAGGATTTTGCGGGCGGCACCATAAACCCTGAGTAACCTGTCCAGACTGGTCCCATTATTTGGTATACACTTCGCACCTTCAAAGTGCAAAGCGTTGCTGCAGGATCACCAGCCACTTGATGACCCCTTGAGGCTTGCTAACGAGGAACTCGAGGTGGTTGATCAATTCACTTATCTTGGTAGCTGCATCAGTAACGACGGGCGCATAGATAATGAAGTCAACTCACGCACTGCAAAGGCCAGATCTGTCTTCTTGAACCTGCAGCATCTTTGACGACAGAAGGGGATTTCCCTCCGTCTGAAAGGCCGTGTTTACAAGGTCGCAGTGAGGGCCGTTCTGCTCTA